AGTGCTGGAGCAAGATGGTATCTCATTGTTGTTTTGATTTGCATCTCTCTAATAGCTAATGATCGTGAGCATTTCTTCATATGTTTGTTGGCCGCTTGAGAATGCTCTGAGTCTTAAAGTAGCTCATGTGGACACGGTGCTTCAAGCAGGGCCTGAGTTACAGTAGGTGCATGGGCATACCTGTCCCCTTCCCGTCACAGCCCTTTGTGCCTGTTGCTGATGGCAGTGGCTGCTGGGTACCCTGTAGGGCTGATCTACTTGGCATTATAGAAGGATGGACGGTGGGTATGGTGGCATGGTATCACATCCTCTGACCCTGTCACCACTACCACACAGGTGCTTGGCATTCTCCAGTCTGGCCTTCTGGGTACTTTTGGAAGCTCTGGAGGAACAGAGAGTGGTGTTGTGCCCACTTGCCACCTCTGGGAGGACTGTGGCCTCAAGCAGGCCACAGGGTCCCTAACTGAGGTGCAAACCTTAAGAGAGATTTTGGTAGCTCAGCTCTAAGCCCCGGGAGACCTTTTCTGCCTTGGCTTGATGCTCAGGACCCCTCTTCCTGCCCAGGTGACAGGGTTTGACAGCGTGGATGATGAGTCGAAGCACAGTGACCACATGTTCTCGGACAAGAGCCCCAGCCCAGACATCTGGACCAGTGAGCAGAACCCGCCCTACAGCTATTACCTGTACTACATGTACGTCAACATCATGGTGCTCAACAATCTCCGCAGGTGGGTGAGCCCAGCCCCTTTACACACACGTGTTCACCTGTTAGCACATACACAAACACACGTGTCTATGTGCACCGAAGCCAACACACATGTCCATGTGTCCACACACCTCAAAATATATGGCATACCCCAGCATCCTACACACAGGCACATATTGGTATCATTACAGACACATGCATACATGCCCATTATGACATGTATGCCAATACAGATGTGCACCCTATGCATAATGTCAGATACACACCATACATACACACATTCATATATATATATACACACACACACACACACACACACATACAGTATTCACCATACATGTATATATGTATAGTTTCTATATGTACAAATATAAATCATACCAACACACATACATATATGTTGAACCACACACACTAACAATGTTGACATACATATCCAATCAACAAATACTATTGCATCTGCTATGTGACAGCACTCTGCTAGGTGCCGGCTATATAATAGAGAACAAAACAGACTAAATTCGTGCCCTCATAGGGCTTATATTCAAATGATCTTACATGGATGGCCTCCCACCAAGACATACATGGACAGCAGTTGGATGCCTAGTGCAGCAGGATGCTAATCCCCCATCTTCTTGCCGGCCTAGTGTTCTTCCTGCTCCTGGCTGGGCCTTGAGGGCCTCACTAGCTCAGCCTAAGTCAATGCTAGTTCGTGGATGTGGAGCCTTTGAATGCGGTCATGACTGAGAGAAGATGGCCTGATGTTGGGAGTGGGTTAATCCTGGGCAGAGCTTTTGGAGGGGGCTTCTAATTCTAGCTCTGCTATTGACTCACTCCGTGGCCTTGAGCAAATGACTTCACTCTATGGGCCTTGGTTTATCCATTTTTATTATAAAGAGATAGGACTCGATGGCTTCTCATGCCTTTTCTAGCCTGAAGTTCTTTGGACCTGGGCTGCAAGTTCTGGTGAGGGGGGTTGAGGGAGGGCAGGGTCTGTTCTTATTACTAGACTCCCTTTCTATCCCTCAGAGATGATGTCTCTTGGTTCTCAGGAGCTTTGGGCCTACACCTCTGACATTTTGGGATAGTTTCTGGGCTGCACTGGGTCAGCTGTGCTGACCCTGCTATGGGTAACTGTCTCTCCTGAGCTAGGAATACTAGTCCTAGGCCTTTGATGCCCCATGCACAGTGGACCCACAGCCTACCTTCTCTTTCAGGGAACGAGGCCTGAGCACTTTCCTGTTCCGGCCTCACTGTGGGGAGGCTGGCTCCATCACCCACCTGGTGTCTGCTTTCCTGACTGCCGACAATATTTCCCATGGGCTGCTCCTCAAGAAGGTAATAACTGAGCCCCTCACAGGGCTCTGCCCTGCAGTATCTGCCCTTCTCTGGGCTCCCCTGCAAGAACTGGGATCACCTGGGCTCCTGCCATCCCTGGGAAGCTCCAGCCAGTGATGCTAGAAGGTGGGAACATTTTCTGAGCTGGCCTGACGTTAGTTACCTTGGTTCTATTTTTAATTATGTAAGTTATATAATCAAATACATTACAACTTAGAAAATGGAGAAATGGGGAGAAAAAAGCAAACCTTATGGCTATTGCTTTAGTAGAAATAGCCAGTATTAGTGTTTCCATTTTTTTTTTCAGAGCATATTTTTAATGTGTTCATTATCATAAGGAGCCCTGGTGGCACAATGGTTAAATGCTCTGATGCTAACTGAAATGTCAGTGGTTCAAACTCACTCACCAGCTGCTCTAAGGGAGAAAGATGTGGCAGTCTGCTTCTGTAAAGATTACAGCTTTGGGAACCCTATAGGGCAGTTCCATTCTGTTGCATGGTGTTACTATGAGTTGGAATCCACATGATGGCAGTTGTTTTC